ATAAATTTGAATCTGGTTAGAAATTTCGGGCTGTATGCTGTTTGGGACAGATTTGGAGGCTGACTTGTGGGTCCACTAGGTTGACGTGTATGAAAGGCTTTGTCAACTTAGTCCACAAACGATTCTATCAGAAGTGACCATTGGATGTTAATCCAACGGTCGTGCTGCTTCTTCAATATCTGATCTTCTTGCTCTAGCCGCCCAAACCAGCACTGGTGGGACTGCCTGCTCCCGCCTCTCATGGCCGGCTGTGCTGCCGCACAGACCGCACCGCCCCACCCTACTCCATTGTTGGCCAGGCCATTCATCTACTCATCCACACCTTCTGTTATTTTCCGGCAACGGTAGCCGGACCAGTAAACCCTCGTACTCCCCACCACGTGGGCAACCACTATCGAGTCTTCCCCGACTCCGGGTCGTTCCCTTCCTAGGACTCGCCGTCGTCCACTGCCCTGGTGCTCTCGGCACGCCGTGGTCAACGTGGTCAACGAACGACATCCATCGGACATGGACTGTACGTGGAGAGGCTGACAGCTGGATCCACGGCCGCACACAAGGAAATGCCTCCTTATTATGCGTAAAATAATGATTCCTCCACCTGACATCTGGGACCCACAGGAAGGGCCTCTGTATTTCACAAAAAAAAACGTTCCCCCCGCTGACAGGTCGGACCCACCAGCTATATCTTCGCACGCAAGGAAGTGCCTCCTTATTATGCACAAAAAATGAATACTCCCCCTGCTAGCTAGGACCCAGCATAGTGGGAGGCTGACATGTGGGCCTACTAAGTTGATGGGGATGGAGGGCTTTGTCAACTTAGTCAATATGAACGATTCTAGCTCCAGTGACCGTACGATGTCCATCCAACGGTCGTAGTGCTTCTTCAACCTCTGGTCTTCTTGCTCCAGCCGCCCAAAGCAGCGCCGGTCGTGCCGACTGCTCCTACCTACCGTGGCCGATTGTGCTGCCGCGGAGGCCTCACCGCCCCCTACTACTCCCACCTCTGGCCAGGCCCTACGGCAACGGCAGCCTCACACCGCAGCCGAACCAGTGAACCCTCGTACTCCTCTCCGCGTGGGCATCCACTGTCGTGTCTTCCCCAGATCCGCGTCGTCTCCTTCCTAGGCCTCGTCGTCGTCCACCGCCTTGGTGCGTGGTCAACGAACGACTTCCAATGGAAGAGTACTGTACGTGGAGAGGCTAACATCTGGGTCCACGGCCGCAGCAAGGAAGTGCCTCCTTATTACGCGCAAAATAATGATTCCTCCACCTGATAGCAGGGACCCATCAGACGGACCATCGTATTTCACAAAAAAATGTTTCCCCTTGACTGTTGGGACCCACCAGCTACATCTTCGCATGCAAGGAAGTGCCTGACAGTCGGGACCCACCCGGTTGAAGCATAAGTAGCGTCGTCATTCTGGTCGCGAACGTGTACGTACATATGATCGGTCTGTCTGCATGCTGCAGCGATGAACCGTGGCCATGCAAGGAAGGGCACGTGTCGTAGTAGAGGCGCGCACATGTCGTAGTAGAGTCGCGCACGTAGCATGGACATGCACGTACAGCGACTAGGGTGCAAGAAAGTAAATACGGCCACGCACGTACATACGGGAGGGGTCTCGAACGCCTACTCGCGCACACGTACGACCAGGGCTCGTGTACATGGCTGGGTCGGAACAGAGAAACTGCATCGTCATCGTGTTCATGGGGAGCCAACCGGCTGGGTCGGAACGGAATGCGTCATCGTGTTCATTGAGAGCCAACCGGCTTGGATGGAACAGCCGATGGAAACGAGGCCTGACATACCGTAGAACGGAGGAAACGGCGTTGTGTTTGACCGGCCACGGTCGAAATGGGATCCTGTTCATCGGGAGGGGTCTGGCGTACCGCAAAATGGAGGAAACGGACTTCTATTGGACCTCCTACAGTCGAAACGGGGTCCTGTTGATCGGGAGGGGTGTGGCGTACCGCAAAACGGAGGAAACGGACTTGTGTTGGAGCGCTACGGTCGAAATGGGGGTCCTGTTCATCGGGAGGGGTGTGGCGTACCACAAAATGGGACTCCACGGGCTACTATTCATCTCCATCGTCGACCTCCTTCAGCCTCCACCTGCGACTGTTCATCCACGGGCTCCTGTTCATCCAGCCTCCACCGGCTACTATTCAACCAGCCCTCTCCACGGGGTCATGTTCAACCACCCCTCCACGGGCTACTATTCATCCAGCCCTCCACCGGCTACTATTCAACCAGCCCTCCACGGGGTTCTGTTCATCCACCGGCTCGATCGATCGGGGTACTGTTCATCCAACGGCAACAGCCTCTACTACCACGGGTTCCTGTTCATCCAACCCCCACCGAGAACTGTTCATCCAAACCCCCCAACAACGCTCACTGTTCATCTAGAGGCAGCATCGATCGACTTCAGTTAGCAGCGAAGGAATCGCTTGATCGGGTTCAGTTAACTGTCATCGATCGATCGCTCGGGTTCAGTAACGCATAGCCTGCAGTGCGATCGCTCGGGTTCAGTTAGAGCCCAACGCCTCCCTCAGGTTCAGTTAGAGCCCAACGCCTCGCACACACACGCGTGCGTATGAGAGAAACGCGCATCGCTCGGCCCCCGACCACCCACCGTAACCAGGAACTCCCTGATATTTTCCTTGCCCTCGCTTCTACCACGGTTTTTTCCGTCATGGACGGTCCAAAGAATGTCATGTAGCTGCGTCTCCGGCCCGCCCAGGACGAAAAACCCATTTTCTGTCATGATTTTTTGTCATAGAAGTAGGACCCCACCACATCTAGGATGATACCGGGTTTTGTCACAATTATCGTCATAGAAGTGTCATAAGTATGACAGGAAAAAAATTCGTTCGGCCCAAAATGTCATGGATGTGTCTTTTTTTGTAGTGCCGTCTTGGAGGAGGCCAACCACTTGCCTTGCGAGCCGGATTCGGACATGATTAGAGTACTTGGCGGTGAGGGGAAAGCTTGGAGCTTGGGTGCTGGAGCTTGAGGACGGATGGGCTAGGGGGAGAAGGCATGGGGTAAAAAGGTGGATCCCAATCTTCTTATGAAAGCAGTGAATATCAAGCGTCCCCCCACGAGCTTTAAAACTCGCCTATTCCCCAAGGGTCGTGCAAACAGCACGGTTGGATTACCCAAACCCGTATTGATGAGAATCCCGTAATAAGGGGACACGATCTCTGCTTTGACAAGACGTGTCGATGAAACCACGCCTCGAAACACAAAGCGGGAGGCTAAAACGGTTCGAAATAATAATAATAATAATAATAATAATAATAATAATAATAATAATAATAATAATAATAATAATAAGGCCGGAACACAACACCTCGCCGAAAAAGTTGTTAGAAGATATGACCTATTTTTCTGTTTAAGCATTTTTGCCCTTGTGGTTCAGGGTTGTAACTATTGTACTGAGCCGGATATAGTCCTTTTGATCAACTACTTTGGAGTATTCGGAGGAGGAACCCGCCTTGCAATGCCGAAGATAATTTGCGCGCCGGACACATCGTCATTGAAGCCTGGTTCAGGAGCTACTGAGGGAGTCCTGGATTAGGGGGTCCCCGAGCGTCCGGGCTATGTGACATGGGCCGGACTGGTGGGACGTAAATATACAAGATGGGAAGCTTCCCCCCGTGTCCGGATGGAACTCTCCTTTGCGTGGATGGCAAGCTTGGCGTTCGGATATGAAGATTCCTTTCTCTGTAAACCGACTCTGTATAACCCTAGTCCCCTCCGGTATCTATATAAACCGGAGGGTTAGTCCATAGAGGCAATCACAATCATACAGGCTAGACATCTAGGGTTTAGCCACTACGATCTCGAGGTAGATCAACTCTTGTAACTCATGTACTCATCAAAGTCAATCAAGCAGGAAGTAGGGTATTACCTCCATCAAGAGGGCCCGAACCTGGGTAAACATCGTATCCCCTGCCTCCTATTACCTTCGATCCTCAGACGCACAGTTCAGGACCCCCTACCCGAGATCGGCCGATTTTGACACTGACAGCGGGTGAGGGGGAGAGCCATGGAAGGAGATGGGGACGGGGAAGAGTGAGGGAGGGGTGAGGGGTTGCGTGGCGCCCTTAGCCATCTCCAGGCAGTTAGTGGAAGCAGGAGGTGGCCCATGGAAAAGCAACCCCTTAGGACAACTGACCCACGGTTCTGGTCACTTAGGACACCCACGCACAAAAATAGACAGGCAGAAACACACACGGCGTCAGCGAACTGGAAAGGGGTTCGGTTTTACTGTCCTAAAAATGTTTCCCATTTAACTTGTGTGAGTACTCTGCAGCCTATCGATGGAACCAATTAGGGCCAGGAGACTCCGTTCGCACCACTTCTCCTTTCCCTTGCCAGCTATGTGGTAGCGCTCCTCTCCATCTTTCATACACATTACAAATGGTAGTGCTTGTGATAATCTATAATATATCTATTGTATTTAATAATGTATATCGAGTTTGGTTGTACATTTAAAGCTTTAATGTTCTCATATTTACTTACAAGATACATTCATGGAACAATGGCATGTGGTGTCCACTACTATAATTGCGAGGATTCGCACTACGTTTATCAGTACCCGCCTACCTGTAGCAACATAATGTATTCATATCTTTTTCATTTATCTCATGTGCATACCTCTCTAGAGCGTCTATTAATTTCATGCAGATATATTATAGAAAAATGCACCTATACAATTAATTTGTTTACGTAAATATGTAAGATATACGTGTGTGTTTGTATATATGTATATATATATATATATTATCATTGCAAAAGATATAAAAAGTATTAATATGCATGATTGAACATATCAATGGATCAATATTTTCTTAGGAGGATCCGGATATTTTGTACCACTACTAAATCTTCATTAAGGACACCCTATGTGTACCTACACTACACACACATCAGATCTATATATATAGGGGGTTCCGCCTAGAACATTGTGCTCTTCATCCTCAAGCATCCCAAAATGGCCAAACTTAGTTTATTCCTACAAACAATTTATGTATTTATATTTCATCTTGCACATCCGAACAGGGGTGTTCGACTATACCCTGTTGTTCAAGAGGTAAATGTTTGAATACAATATTATTTCATAGAACTTTACGTGCTTGTGAGGGTTGTTCTTGGTGGCGTGCCAAATTATATTTTCTCTAGTGATTTTTTTTTCTAATACTAACTTGTGTATTTTAAGAGAAATAATACAGATGTGTGGTGGAGTTAAATATAGGCTAGGGAATGATGGGAACATGGATCATAATGGGTCATATAGGTGCTACCATGATGTTGCTTCCCTTCCAAGCACAGTGAGAAACTGGCAAACAGTAGGAACCTCGTCTCGGAAGGAGGGACTCTAAGACAATCCCCATCCGATGTTACAAATATATCGCATTCTTTGGTTCCTATATTTCCCATCTTTCTTTCGGGGTTGGAGGTGAAGGAAGTGCGGGATGTGGTGCCCTATTGCCTTTTTTAGATCAAATGAGTTGTATTTAGTCTGAGTACACAGTTTCTTTGAAAATCCTAGGGGGTGTTAGCCCATGTTGAACAAATTTGATTAGACTGCTTACACGGCTAGTAAGGTTTATGGTTACGAGTGTATTTTTATAGGGAGTGGGAGAGAAGGGAACTAGCAACTGCAAAATTACGTCAAGTACATAGTTACCCTTGGTAACCAGAACTTCTTATGATCTATTATCACATTATATGTGTTTCTCTTACCTATCTATATTCGTCAATTATTATTAACTTGCCTCCTTTAACCACTATCGCGTGCTCGTTTGCTAATAGCAATGGTAGTAGGATGGATGCAAAGAAAGAATATGAACTATTTGCAATTGATCTTTACCTATAGTATGTAGATCCATGTGGAAAGGGACTAGATGTGAAATGATTTGCGGTCACTTATACATAATAATTGAAATCCACCACCAAACCATATGTGTAGTCAGCATTGTTCATTGAAATGTGGTATTAGTTATGTTTCAGTCATCTAGTGTGTAGAGCATTCATTAGTTCATGACAACAGCTTCCTAGTTCAATACTATTTATGTCCAAGCACATGCCCCAATGTATTGCATTATGACACCATCAACATCAAATTTTCATGTTTGATGTACATCTTATATTTCACTTTGAAGGGTAATAATTCACTTCAACAAGATTTGGCATATGGTTTAGCCAAACAAAAGTTGCCAAGCCTGAAGTCAAATTCCCTCGAGGCAAAATTTTCTGGAGAAGGAAATAATTCATCTGGTGTACTATATGTGAGTTTATATTGACTTATTCTATTGAAAGTAATTTCCAGTTAGCCCTAGGTTACAGGTGTTTCATCTAAATGTATGTGTTGATTTACATTTCAAGATTTTACTTACTACTCATTGTAGTTCTTCATGTGTTTTGCAATACTTTTTGATTGATAAGTTTAGTGTAGTTGTAAACTGAAAAGCTTCGTAAATAACCTACATTTTACCTTTGATATAGATATGGTGGTGGCTTATGTAATATTTTTAGTTAATTTTGCATGTTTATGTACTTCCTTGCTAATCATAAGGAAAGTTGTGGTGGAGCTCAGGCTCCATGGCACACCTTATCTAGCCACACATTTTCTACATCGCTATCAATGCAATCAATTTTGTGTTTTTGTTTATCCCAAACAAATCAACATATGAACTTCAAACTTTGCTGGACAACAAAACGATCTAACTACAGTATAGGAAAAACTTTTATTTTTTTAAGCCATAAATTCTTATAATTTTTTACTAAAAAACTCATTTTTTATATTTATGCCAGACCAAAAAATCCGAAAGTTTTTTCACACATTGAAGTTCTAAAGTTTATTTGACTTGCAAAGTTTGAAGTACATATGTCGTTTCATTTGAGAGAAACAAAAAAGAGAAACTTTCAAGTAATAAGTTAGTTGGCTAACACAAATCTCAAAGCAATGTTGGAGGGGTGAGGATAACGGCTTCCATGGAGCTTGGCCTACAGACAACCACACTCCTAATCATATCACTAAGGGTGCATTATAGTAAATGGATTCTTAGTTTATAAGAATGTGAGTTTTTGTTGTTTGTACAATATATAATATAAATGTTCCTAAGAAAATTTTGAAAAAGAAATGCAAACACACATGTCACTCCTTATGTTTTCCAAAACCATGTAATGATTCGAACACAAACAGTAGATAAGTAAGCTATCCATTAAATTCATTATCTTTAACACATTTTCTTATTCATTATAATCTAAGATCAACCGATAGTTCCATGATTGTTTCGTTGGGAACTTTTGTTTCTTTGTGTCAAAGGGCTGAACGGAACTATGGAAGTGTTGTTTCATAGCTATATATACATATTTCTAGATGATAAAGATGCATGTTTGCTCTGTTACTTTCTTATTTCTAGTCTTATCAATTTGGATGTGTTCACCATGCAGTATGCAACACACGACTCATCGGGAGGCCCTGATGCTAGCTATTATGGATTGCATGCCACCACTGATGTGTATGGACATGCGCTTAAACGTGGTCAATTAAGTCGCAGTGGAATTTGGGTTGGCCATAGTGGAGATGGTCGAAAATCAAGCTTTAATGCAATTAGTGTTGGATGGCATGTAAGAAAACTTATTTTTCACATGAGTTCCTAATTTGTTGGTGTTTATAACTGTTTTAGACCTCAACCGAGACTCCCTAAAAAGCTAGCTAAGTTTTTCTAGGGGACCTAACTATGTATTTGTTGTCAAACTATAAAGAACACAATTGCGATATATCTTCCATTTATGGGGTTGTTTCTGGTACACCCTTACTTTTTGTTACTTTTAATAGGTGATTTAACGTTTTTTCTAACTTTTATCTCTTCATTTTAGATTGCTCCAGAAAAATATGGTGACTCTCATCCTCATTTATTTACCTACTGGACGGTATGATATAGATGTTTTGAATTACTTTACTTTCCAAGAAATGATCTGCCTATGATAGTAAGCTTACATACATATGTGCACATGAATGATTATCCATGTAACAGAGGGATGGATATCAGAGTACTGGGTGCTACAACATGGATTGTCCAGGTTTCATAGCAGCGAGCAGCGCTACTGTTACTCCAGGAGCTCGCATAAACCCATCTTCAAAGGTCACGCTTCGAGTGTTGAAGGTAAGATTTATGTTAGAACATGTTTCTCAGTTATGCTATATATGTGGCTATATATTTTAATTCTTAAGCCTTACATGAAGGGTAATCACTAAATACCCAGCAAAAAATGAACGATGATTAAATTTCTTTCTATAAACCTTGTAACATAATGTTCTAGGTGTATTGTTGTTTTTTTATGAAGGAATGTTCTACTCGTTGTTTGTAGTAAAAGCTAGACTTAGACAAAGGATATCAGATTTTCTTATATTTGACATGAAAATTTTGAAGAGCACCATCACTAGAGAAAACTTTATAGTGAAAGCATCAGCCGCTACATCCCCATGGTTGCGTCCTCACAAAACGATTCTAATTTGATCACGGACTCAAAGTAGCTTACTCCACGCAATGTTGGCGTGTTTTTTTAGAATCCAAGACCATGTGTTAAAGTTGTCGAACCATTCTAATGTTTTGCGCTATAACCCATTCAAAATTAGCATGTCAGTCTCTTACTCTTGCTTAACGTTTCCGATCTCTCAAAAGAACGACTTCCCAAGTTTCTGCTCTAAAAAAGCAACTTCCCATCTTAAGCAGGAAGTAGCTATGAGCGGTTGCTTGGCATCACTAGATCACACTAATTCTCAATTGATTTCCCTTCAAAAGATAGGTTCTAATTTGGATCGGGGTTATAAAATGGATCTAACACCCTGATCAACCAACTAATTAATAGTACCCGACCTATATTGGTCAAAAATAATGGTTGATGAAATAAATTGTTTTTTGTTTTATTTTATGAGGCATGGACCGAAGAACTCCTCAATTTTGATATATCATACTTAGACTATGAATAATGATATATGACAGGATGACCAAAGTGGGCACTGGTGGGTGTACTATGGCTTCAACGGCGTCCCAACGGCTGTGGGCTACTACCCAAAGTCATTGTTCACATACATGGCAAAAAAGGCAAACCAGTTCTCGTTTGGTGGCTTCGTGTTCGCAGAAAGGGCGCTTCCAACTCCTCCATTGGGCAGCGGCGTCCTTCCTGGTGGCAAGGGACGTGCGGCATCGTTTACTGACTTGCGCCTCATTGAACGGGATGGAAGGAGCAGCCCCATCATGAAGGACTTGCCTAGTGTTATATCCAACAATAAATGTTATTCTATCACTCCTATTGTTAATTCCGGGTGCTTCTTTGGCGGGCCAGGAGGTTGCGTGTAATATTAAGGTGTACTTTGAACGTGGTGGTGTAATAATGTTTCCCTTGAGTTTGTCTTCCCAAACTCATACTGGCCTAATAAGACACTATGTGTTACTGTATTATGCACATTAGCAATGAATTTACTCTTTCTATAAATTTTGAGTATACACCGAGAGACAAGTTTATCATGGAAACCATAAATGCACTAGAAATTGACAAAACTCCAAAGGCATCTATCACGCACACTAGGAATTATAACATTGAACAAATTGAGTGCAAATTGCTCGTGTCACCGATTTGACATGAAGATTTTGCGACGATGATTGGGAAGCCACATGTCGCACCACGAAGGATGTATACAATATCATGGGTTGTTATCGAGAGGGAGGACCAAGGGTCGTAGTGTTTATGCCACGCGTATTCTCAGTCGTTGTTTAGCCTCTGATCTTTACGATCATGTTGAGGCGTTGTCCCGTCCTCTGACCATTAGATACTTGAAAGGTGCTTATACGCCAGGAGGACGAAGCTGGCGGGTGGTAAATCATGACGCGACTTGTGTGCCGATTGACGAAGAACCCCATGAGTCTACCTGTAAGCGTGTATAATGTTGGGAAACATAGTAGAAAACAAAAAAAAACGCCCTACGATCACCCAGGAACACTATGAAGATGCGATAAATGGTTTGGATCAGATCATTACCGACTCTGAGTTGCAGCGAAAAAAGATGAGTCGGTGTAGATCGTACTTGAAGTCCTTTGAACTATAGATGAACGATCCCACGAACGGCACACGAACAGTCCCTCAAACGGGAGACCGAAAGCACGGCCTCTCTACAAGTTGCAAGCTTACGGTCTTAATGATCCGGCGGCGCTTCACCATCCAAAACTAACCGTTGCCGAAGAATTAGAGAGGGAAGATTAGAACCACACTAGACTTCTAATTATTAGGATTAGAGGATCTAGATCTAGCTCTAATTGATCAACTAGGACCAAGTAGAACTAGAACTAGGACTAGAAAACTAGAGGAGGCTTCAAAATTTGTGTGTTAAAGGTGCCCAAAACCTCTAGTATATATAGGTTGGAGAGGGAAGAGTGGGCGCCACACAAAGGGGGGAAAGTCTCCCTCCCTTGGCCGGCCAAGAGGAGGGGACTTCCCTCCAATTCGGCCTCCCCCTTCCTTCCAAAGGGGGAAAGGGGCGCCACCTCTATTTGGGCCCAAATAGCTCTCCACCACTTGACCTTTTAAGGCCTGTTGATGTTAAATTAAGTATAAAAGCCTCCAAGCTATTATTAAAGCCTTTTAATATTAATCTAACATCACCAAAAAAATCACCTATATATAATTTATCGGTAATACCCGGTATTGCCCGATAAACCCCGAAACCCTTTCGGTCCCCCCAAACGCTTCCGGTTCTCTCGAAACTATTTTCAATATTAGTGAAATTACTTTGTAGCATGGTAATCCTGAACATGTGGACAACTTCCCTTTTTTTTCTTAGCCTGCCAATTCTCTACCGCTGCATGGCAAATCTTTGGAACACATGGAAATTCTATCTGCTCAAGCTAGCATGGCCAAATTCTTGAAATGCATGGCAATTTTCTCTACTATAGCATGACAATTATTTTCCTTAGCATGAAAATTGTCTCTATTATAGCATGGCAATTCCTGAAAGTTTCTTGAAAGTTGCTTTTTGAGGGAAAGCTCTCTTATGACGGCATTCGCTCGAATGAGCCTCCTAAGAGAATTCCGTTCATTGCCAGGGTCCTCCTGTAGGAAAAGTTCATACAAAAAGCACCCACACACTCAACACATACGTGCCTATGTTCTGTCTTTCTCGCCCCTGTCTCGCATAGGTTGTCCTCACTCAACTCCATTTCTTCTCCTCCCTTCGTGTGTTGTTTTTCTCTCTAAAAGCATCTACAACTGGATACACCAAATCCGACCCCTCGAACGCATGCGGACGTGACCGAACATGTCTACAGACAGTGATCAGGCACACCTCATTTTGCTGAGTCACAATCGTGTCCCTCGTATCCAAACCACCAAATTCATGCAACACATACAACGCTACATAGATGAACACAAAGAACACACTTAACTTAATAATAACGAACGTACTAAATTCATCCGATACAAAAGGATCATAGTTCATCGCCAGAAAAAAGAAATTGTCGTTGCCGCCCTGGTTCGGCCGCAACCGCCTCAACACTGCGGAGGGTGATCTCCTTCACATCGTCCGGCTCCGTATCACGCAGCAGGCTAGCCCACTCGTTGGAGCCGCCATATCCGCCACCGGAGCCTGCATTGCTACCATGGTTAGCCATCGATTGAAGGGGGGGATGGGATTGGGAGTGGAGAAGACGGATATATATATATATATATATATATGAGAGAGAGAGAGAGGAGTGAACTAATTGACTTCAGTCTAGGGTTCGTCCGGAGGGGGCAATTTGTGGGGTCGGGATGGGCCAGGCTGGGCCCGACCAATGTGACGAACATGTCGGGGCACGTCCAGGCCTTTCCATACCCACCTTAGACTTAGTCTGGATATTAGGAGTGCCGATCAACTTGGACTTATAGAATCGATGTGAGAAGCCCGCGGTTTAGCGATCGGGCATTGACCGGACGTACGCCCGAGCAATTTGGGCACCCGGTCGTAGATGCCCTGAGATCTCGGACGCTTGAGAGGCCACTCCCAGCCTACTTGGCTGTAGATGTCCTGAGCAGCCGCCGGGCTATCATTGCCAGTATACAGTGCATAGAACTCAGATTTTTAGCATAAAAATCGAGAGATATTTGTTGCCATGGATTGGAAGGTGAAAGGAATGGGTGATGGCTACTGCCATTACTACCACATCCGCCACCTATTTCTTCTTGCTTTGCTTGCACCCTGCAACACCAATTCCTTTAGCTTCCACTTTCGTCTTTCGACCCCTATGACGTCTGCCACTCCAAGAGGATGGTGAAGAACTGAAGATTCATGCCTCTTAAGAGCAGACAGGAAGAAGGTTCTGCCTCACCAAGGTAAGCTCTCCTTCAATTCTTCATGTTCTTTTCCCCGTTAGGGATGATTTCTGGGCCCTTATTCAGAGCGATGCTTGCAGAAGCGAGGTTGTGGTGTTGCTGGATGCGATGGTGCCGTGGAGGATGGAGGCGCGGCTGGCGGCCACGGTGCGGGCGGCGCTCCTCGGCTGGCTCTTCTTCTGCCTCACCGTCGCCAGCGACGTCGCACGCCAACTCAGGAGCAGCGATCTCTCCGTCTAAGGCCGGCCGCGTTCGACATCGCCGGCGGCAAAGAACAGACTCTGCGTCTACGAAGTGCCACTCCATCTGGTGCACAGGAAGAAGATTGATTTACAGCAGGGTAACCAGATGTGATTTTGCAACGAACCCGCAGTTAGGTGCAGGTGCTCGTCTTTAGAAGACGGTTGTCCTTGAGACTCATTGAGCAGATGATCCCTGTAAATTTTCAACTAAAGCGTGTTGTTCCTTGGCTCATTTTGGGGGGTCAGCATGGTTAATTTCCAGCTAGCATCACTGACTACGACCTGAAATGCCTTTTTTTGGTGAAATTACCACCTGAAATACTAAATCATTACACCTTAACGGTTTTGTCATTAGTTATTAACATTAAAACCCATTAGGGGGTCCAGCTCCACTTTTAATCTGAAATGTGGGTCCCATGATGAGATGGCCTAGCAAATAATTATTGCCGTCGGTCTCATGTGGGGCAAAACGCCCTCTAAATCACCTCACATGCTCTCAGGAGTCAGGAGCCGGATTATTTTAATTTTTTTTGTAATGTTTGAGGATAGTAGATTCACAATATCAGATATTTAGTTTGTATCGTTTTGACTTCGGCATATCGGATGGTATATCATACGATATTTAGTTATATCGAAGAGAACAAATTTGAAGTTCTTTGCATTAATCTTCTTCAAACGTGTCTTTTTAGTACAAAAAATGCATGATGTCAATGTTTCAGCATAACAAATTTAGTTCTCACTGTATTGACTTGTTAATCGAAAAACTATTTGAAAAAGATTCACAAAATCCTTATTAAAATCAAGGGTTAATTTGATAAATGCCACTCCAATTATGGCGATTCTGAGAAATGCCATCGCAATTTCTAAACTTTGAAAAATGCCATTTCATGCCACTTCCAGTGGCATTTTTCGAAGTCTGCAGTGGTGTTCTTCAAAGATTGCAAAATTTGCAGTGGCATTTTTTAAAGTTTGGAAATTGCAATGGCATTTTTATGAATCGCCATAATTGGAGTGGCATTTATCTAATTAACCCTAAAATCAATACATTATATATGTGTTCTTACAAACCGTTATGCATAACTTTGATAATATTCTGAAGTTGTAAATACAAAATCTTGTTTATTTTTCACTTATTTCCGAGAAAGAATTGTTGTCATCTATGATCGGTCTTCTAAATATAAACGATATATACCCCTCCGATAACGGCCATATTGGTCGATATTTCTGTCTATATCATATGGTATGTATGAAAATGGTACAAAATGATATGCTATATCTATATCATTAGGCCCCCTAAACTGATATATCGGTCGTATCGGACGAATTTAGAAGCTTGGAGGACAGTCGGTTTCAAATATGAAGGATACATAGTTCGACGCCTAAAAATCAGCAGGTGATGCACCATAAGTTCTACTGCACTACTCCCTCCGTTCGGAATTACTTGTCGCAGAAATGAATTGTCGCAGAAATAAATGTATCTAAATGTATTTTAGTTCTAGATACATTCATTTTCGAGACAAGTAATTCCGAACGGAGGGAGTAGATATTTAGTCCCTTTCGCTTCTAGAAACATTTAATAACAAAGACTTTCTTTTGCGGAATAAAAGTAAACCATAGCCAAAGATGATAATTGACTCGATCATCAATACAATAATCCAATGAAGTAGATAGACCTCACCAAGAAGAGTTTTGATTATTTATTTCTTGGTTGTCCTCTCCACTTCGAGATAAACATAGATAAGACATAAAAAATC